AATAACATGTATTGGATGTTGGGCAAGGGGAGGGGGGAGGGGGGAGGAGGGGACAGGCATATGCACAAACAATGAGTGCAATGTGCACCTCCGGGGGAATGGACACACTTGAAGCTCAGACTTGGGGGGAGGGAGGGTAAGGGCACCATACGTAACATCATCTGTACCCCCATAACATGCTGAAATAAAAAAAAAAAAAAAACAACAACAAAAGAAAAGTGTCATGAAGAAATAGCACTATCACTGAAGAACATGAAAAAGGTTTGCTCTGAGAAAACAGACAACCAATGTTCTATGGACTGATAGAAACTGCCAAATGCATGGGTCTAACTGGAAGGTTCTAGATGACAGGCAACAGGAGGAAGTTCCAAATGGGATACTCCCTTCAGTTTCAAGAGCATTTCGGGTACAGCTTTTTGGTAGGATAACCACATTTCCTAAGCACTCTGCCGACCAAGGGAGAGGGGAAGTTATCAGACAAGAGGACGACCCTGCCAAGAAGATGCTCACAGGAAATAGGTGTTTCCTGCAAGTCCAGTGACACCCAAACTCTCCTGAGGACAGGAGTGTGGGAGACACTGGGCCAGGAGCTGCAGGAGCCGCAGGCAATCCCCTTGCAAAGCTTCAGTGATATGAAGAGACCAGACTGGGAGGAGGAACAGGCGAGGTCCCAGTGAGTGGTCCCCCCAAAGGGAAATGGAGGCTCAGGGAAGGAGGACAGCATAGCCACCAGAAGGCACCTAGCGCAGCTTCAAAAGGGAGTGGCCATTTGAGAGGATTTAAAGGATAAAGAGGAACTGTTAGGCAAACAGGAAACAGCCCAAGGAAAAGGTATCCAAGTGGGACAGCAGAGGGCAGCCCAAGAGTATCATTCAACTGGGAAACAGTGGAGGGTAGGTGTAGGCGGTTAGTAGAAGACAAGGTGAGAAAAAGTCCTGGAAGGTTCTGGGAAACTGTGAAGGGTCTGAGCAGGTACACCCCGCTCAGAGCTGCACTCTCTAGAAGCCGGGGGCTGGACGCTAATGCACTCGTTACTGTCGAGTGGCACCTGCCCAACCCCACCTCCGCTAAAACTGCTCCTACTGCAGGAGTCAGTGACCTTTCACCCAAATCCACCTGCCTATCTTTAGCCCACATTCTAGTACATGATTTCTGTGGTGCATGAGATGGTGCTGGCCATTTCCTCTTTAAAAGTAACTTGAGCTCCTTAAAAGTTAAACACAGAATTGTCACAGGACTCTGCCATACCCACATGAATTAAAAGCAGGTACTCAAATACACATACATGCACATTCATAGCAGCTCTATTCACAATAGCCAAAAGATGAAAACAGCCCATCAACAGATGAATGAATAAACAAACTGTGGTTTATCCACACAATGGGATATTATTCAATCATAAAAAGGAATGGAGTACATGCTACAATGTACATGAATCATGAAAATGCTAAGTAAAAGAAGTCAGACAAGAAGGTCACTTACTGTATGATTCTATTTATATGAAATATCCAAGAGATAAATCCATGGAGAAGGACACAGATTGCTGATTGCCAGGGGCTGGGAATAATGGGGAGAAACTGCTTCATGACTAAGATGTTTTACTTTGGAGTGATGGAAATGTTTTGAAACTATACAGAGGTAGTGGCTGTACAACATTGTGAATATAATAAATGCCACTAAATTGTTCGCTTTAAAATGGTTAATTTTGTTGTATAAATTTCACCTCAGGTTATTTTTAAAAAGAAAAGTACCTTGAAACTTTCTCCTCCTCTGCATTTCAGAATGTCTTTTAGTCCTGGTTCTCCTTTTCCCACTCCAGCCCTTCCTTCTTAGCATCTTCAGTGGTTGCCCTTACTTCTTCGGCCTTGAGTTCTGCCTACTCCCTCCCTGCCTCGAATGCTCCACACCCCCTTCATTCGCTCCACACCCCCTTCCTTCCCTCCGAGTACTTGCACACTCCGGCCCCCCCTGCCTGGAGTGCTGAAATGGATCTCCCCTGCCACCCCTGCACCTGGATAACTACTGAGCTGCCAATAAAGTCAGGCTCAAACACCACCTCAGACAGGAAATGCTCCCCAGCTCCCCAGCAGGGCAACACTGGGCCTGTTCTCTGCTTCCAAGGCTCCCTATCCTTTATGGCAGCCCTACCACACCATAATATGATGATCTATTTGTGGGTTTGCCTCCACCACCAGACTGTCAGCCACATGGCGACAGACCATGGCTTACCTAGCCCCAAATCTCCAAGCTCTAGCACCATGCCCAGCACAAAGCAAGTGCTCTGTAAACTTGTGTTAAAGAAAGAACAACGTCAAAGACTGAATAAGGACAATGGTAATCAGAAGGGAAAAGAGATAAAAGGCAGAGCTAAAACACCTGGACCTTCTTCAGAGGTAGCTACAGCAACGGAAACAAAACAAAACAAAAGGAAACAACCCTGGACCTGGTGAGTGTGTGCAGATGGATACTGGAGAGAGGAGGGACTCAGCAGTGACTCAGAAATTGAATCGGGACGACTGGGGAAAACCTCGGCATCACTCCCCTACAAAAGAGAAGTGCAGAGGAAACAGCAGCTCTGTGTAGGGAAGGCTGTCTTCAAGCTGGAAAGAAAGCTTCTAAGGGCTAGGAGAGTGTGTATCGAATTTCATTCTGCCCCCTCAGAGCCCAGCATGGTGCATGGCGCAGAGGAGCTTCCCAGCTGTTTGTTTTCTATGAAAGACTGTCGGGACAGACTCTCCATTTTAGCCCAGCAAGGATGCTTGGAATCAGAGGTAAAAGTGGAACCCAATGTGAGGCCCCACAGGATTCAGGGATCTCAGAACAGGAAAACACCCACTAAGCCAAGGGAAAGGTAAGAAAGACAGGAGCTGAGACAGAGCCCGTGCTCCAGGGGCACGTGGCTACAACCAGGCCTGTGCCCAGACATTATTTAGGTTGGAACAGGGACGGCAAATAGGTGGTGACCCACGGGCCAGCTCTGGCCGACAGGGAGCTGTAGCAAAGAAATGCTGTGTTTGCAGAGAGGAAGGTGGTGGGATCAGATTACACAGGGCCCTGTGAGGGAGGTCAGGATTTTATGTTAGGTTCTGCCATTGGGGTAAATATTTGCTGCATTCCCCAACACCCAGGCTGACTACGAGAATGTCAAAAATCCTTAAGGAAAAGCCACGCTAACCTGTATAAAGGCGATAACATTTTCCCGAGCGGCTGCGACCACCACGTCCTGCTCGTTGGTTGGCTGAGGCCTGGGACACCGGCACCACCACCAAGCATTCAATAGCTGTCCTGGGATTGTAGGCTCGGAGTTTCACAAAGCCACAGTCGATCACATACACGACGCCGCTAATTGTAATGGAGGTTTCTGCCACATTGGTGGCCACTATCACCTAAGTTTCCATGGAAAGAAAAGAAAGAAATCATTTTATTCACTTTAAATAAACTCTTAAAAATGCTAAAAGATCTAACAATATTTGCAACATTGTACAATCTGTGAGAGGCAGTTTGGTATATTAGAAAGAAGATGCGTTTCAGAGCCAGGATGACCTGGATTTGAGGCCTCCCTAATCCTGTGACCCTGGACAAATTACTCAACCTCCTGAGCATCACTTTCCTCACCTACATAATGATATTTACCGCCTCCCCCAGGGTTGC